CGGCCGCAGCAGCAGCGGCAGCAGCGCCCGCCTCCCGCCGCTCATGGCCGTGGCCGCCGCCGCTGCCTGCCCCCTGGCCATGGCCGCACCACCCGGTCCCGACGACGGATGAGGCGAGGCGATGCGGCGGGGGGAAAGGAGGGAAACCTCCGCCGCCGCCGCTACTGGAATGGCATCGCTGAGCAGGCGTCTCACTTCCGCTACGGGCAGCGTCTCACTTCCGCCTCCGGCACGTGGCAAAACGCGCCGTGACCGGCGGCGGTTGATTTTATGGCTTAGGCGGACGCCGCGGCGAGAAGAGCTGCGCGGGCGGGCGGCGGCGCTTGCGGGGGCGAGACCGGGCCCGGCCCGCTGGAAGCGGAGACTCCCTCCCTTCCCGGTACCCTCCCGGCCCCCTGTGGACCGCCCTGGGGTGCCAGGAGGTAGCTGTTAGCGGCACAGGCTGTGCCAGGCCTAGCGCGGCTCTGGCAGTGCTGCTTCCCTCCTTCCTTTAAGTGAAAAAATGGAGAGTTTGGGGAGGGAGGTTTGCCCTGGTGCTGCAGGATGGGAGTGACTTCCCACCCCTGCCTGACCTCCGACCCCTGCCTGACCTCCCACCCTGTCCTGAATAACCCCTGGTTGCCTTCTGGGCGAAGACTGGCATTTCATTGAGAAAAGCACGTTTCCAACAAACTGTCATTCTGTGATGAGGCTGAGATTTCAGATTTCAAAGTTAGTAAACAAGTAATTCGCACAATTTGTCAACTCAGTGGATCTAAGAATCTGGAGTTTTAGTCATTAAATAATTGCTGTAGCCATTAGAGTGGGTAAAGTCTTCTATGCTCACAGTTATGCTGAAAACATGAGTGCACATTTTCCTTCCCTGCTCGCTCTGTACAACAAATGTCCTTAATATTTGTAGGGAATTAATACAAGAAGAATTTGGTTTGGCTCACTGTCACTGGGGTTGGAACTAGATGTTCTAAAAGGTCCTTTCCAACCTAAACCATGCCATGATTTCTACGATTTTCTCCAGGCAGCACTTAGTTCACAGCAGGTCTGGCTTTTTCTGTCCCATACATGTTCACAAAAAGCACATGGCACCTTCTTACCAGAATCCATAATTTATTTATTTTTTTTATTGTCATGGTTGGAAAGGACCTCTGAGATCACCAAGTGCAGCCATACACACACACAAAAAACCCCCTACAATCTCGGGCACTATATCATGCCCTGAAAAGCCATGTCTACACGTTTCTTAAATACCTCCAGGGATGGTGACTCCACCACCTCCCTGGGCAGGCTGTTCCAGTGCCTGACCACTCTATCATTAAAGTAATTCTTCCTAATATCTAATCTAACCCTCCCCTGCCCCAACTTTAGACCATTTCCTCTGGTCCTGTCATTATTCCCTTGGGAGAAGAGGCCAACACCCACCTCTCTACCCCCTCCTTTCAGGTAGTTGTAGAGGGCAATGAGGTCTCCCCTCAGCCTCCTCTTTTCCAGATAATTGCGGTAGATCAGGATGGAGATGGAATCACAGAATCACAGAATTGCTGGAGTTGGAAGGGACCTTCTAGAGATCTTCTAGTCCAACTCCCCTGCTAAAGCAGGGTTGCCCAGAGCACATTACTCAGGACTATATCCGGGTGGGTCTTGAAAATCTCCAGAAAAGGGGACTTCTCAACCTCCCTGGGCAGCCTGTTCCAGGGCTCTGTCACCTTCACCATAAAGAAGTTCTTCCTTATATTTGAGTGGAACTTCCTGTGTTCCAGCTTGTGCCTGTTGCCCCTTGTCCTATCGCTGGAAACCACTGAAAAGAGTCTGGCTCCATCATCCTTCAACCCACCCTTTAGGTACTTATAAGCATTAATAAGGTCCCCCCCTCAGCCTTCTCTTCTCCAGGCTAAAGAGCCCCAGCTCTCTCAACCTTTCCTCATAGAGAAGATGCTCCAATCCCTTAATCATCTTTGTCGCCCTACACAGGACTCTCTCCCGTAGTTCTCTGTCTCTCTTGAACTGGGGAGCCCAGAACTGGATGCAGTGTTCCAGTTGTGGCCTCACCAGCGCAGAGTAGAGGGGGAGAGTGACCTCCCTCGACCTACTGGTCACACTCTTCCCTACGCAGCCCAGAATCATTCAGGTGTATATCTATATAAGTGCAAAGGTAGGTGAGACACCATGGCACGTATCAGCACCACAGCAGCACGGCTCATCACGGCAGCTGGGATAACGAACATACACCAGGCCAGCACCTGGGGCAGAAATTCCCTCCAGCTGCTGTGGTGATAAAGCAGAATGGTAGAAGCCATCACTGTTATCGAAAAAGAAGCTATAAATTCCACTTTAGTATATCAGAAAGATGTTAGTGACACTTGCAGACTAATCCTACAAGAATAGCTGTTTCTCAAACCACTTGCAGTGTACAAGTTCAGGGACATTGGTGGGCTCACCTGCACATCTGTGTTTGTTTTCATTTTAAGTAAAAGCAGAAACTTATCTAATGGGCATTGCGTCTGCTTGGCTGTTGTATGCACATTGCCTGGCATTAGCATGGCAGTAATTGCTGACGTTTGTGAGTCTGCAAGTAGCTGTCTTTTCATCTATGGATGATTCAGAACCGGGTGCAGTGTATTTTCTTTGGTACTCCTTCTTCAATGATCCCTTTTAACACCCTGGGCTTGCTACAGCCATTGAAAGGCAAAATTGTGGCTACTGAAGTATCTCCTGTTTACATCATCTGCCGGTTTGTGTTTTGCAGTGAATTTCTGCGTTTGGATGCAGTGACAGACAATGAAGAATGAAGAAGTCTGGTACAGATGGAGGCTGCAGTTGCAGCTAGAGTCAGTCCATTTAGGATCAAATATACCCGCACATTCTGGTGATCACACAGTGCCCATTTTCACTCTCTCTAAGGGAAGGAAGTCACTACCAGCTAATTCCAGAGACCCCCTAGGGCAACTGACTTTATATCTTTGTGTCAGAGATCAGCTCATTCATTTTTTCCCCTTTCCAGGGTCATCTTCCAGAATACCCTGTTTCGACCTTTCTCCATGTTGAAGACTGCTACATACTGAGCAGCAGGTAGATTCACTGCGCTCTGGAGGTGCCTTCCGTAGGCTGCAGTAGCTTCAGAGCCATCCGTTTTGCTAACTGGGCACCAGGGACTAATTCCTGCACAAAAAGAGGCATAAGCAATGTAGTCGCAAGCCGGGAGGGAACAGGACAAACAACTTTCTGCTGTCTCATGACTCCAGGTTACTTAATGAATCATAAAATCGTAAAATCATTTAGGTTGGAAAAGACCCTTGGGATCATTGAGTCCAACCATCTACCCTACTCTACAAAGTTCTTCCCTACACCATATCCCCCAACACCACATCTAAATGACTCTTAAACACATCCAAAGAAATGCTTGGCTTTCATCTGTGCGTTGCCCCATGGAAGTCATTAGGTCCTGCTTAGAGACTATAAATGAAACACACGCTGAAGGTTACATGGTTAGCATCCTGAAAACTTTGTCCCTGCAGGCACACGGCATTCACCAATCTACAGAGTTACAGCCCCCTTGGTTGTCACGGTGAAATTTGCAGAGAAGGATTAAGAAGTGGGGGATGAACTTGAAAAGAGGGGTAACAGAAATGGCAAAGTAATGCGAAGTGCAAAATAAGCACTTCATAACAACATCTGCTGTACTCTTACCTGAAAACTAAAAGAGAGGGCAAGATGAGCTCTGAGAGGTTTTGTTTACCCACTGATGTGCAATGGCTGCAAGGAAAGCAAATGTAACCCTAAGGTGTATCAGGTAGGGTATTTTCAGTGGTTTACATGGAAATTTTCATTGACCCTTGAGTATAATGTAATTTCAAATATGAACTAAAGTTCTAGTCAATCCAGTGCAGGAAAGATTAATTCATATTCAAACTGGCAACCTAAAGTTAACAGGATAATTCCAGGGAGTGAAGAGTCTTTTCTGCCCTAGGTGTTTAAAAAGAAATTGGCTTGTTTAGTTTAGCAAAACAAAGTTTGACAGGGGATCTTAAAGGACCATGTGGTGTAAAGTGACCATAAATAAATGTAGATGGGAAATTAGAAGGTTTTTACTCAACAGAACAGTCCTTGTGAAAACCTTCCCAGCAGGAATCAGGAGGGATCAAAACCTGAAATCAGTTTTTAGTTGGATGTGGTTGGCTTGTGAAACGGATTTTATGATGCAGTTACCTGCGATAGCAAGGGGCTAGTTCCTGTGCCCTTGCATTAATTTTCCACTGTGGAGGTTTTTCACTTTCCCCCTCAAGCATCTGGGACTCGAGCTGCTGTCAGAGAAAGACTAACGAGCTAAAAGGACCACAGGTGCAATCCGAATGAGCATTGAATAGTCCTCTTATTTACTTCAAATATTTTAACCCAGTGATTGTATAGAGTTGAGGGGGATTAACAGCTGTCAGGGGTGATGAATACCCCAAACTGCTCTTAATTCTAAATGGGAAAAGCTAAAAGCCTCCCAGGCTGGAAAAGAATGAGAGTCACCAGCGCATGAATGCTTTCCCACTTTGAAGGGATTTAAAAAAAAAAAAAAAAAAAAGGCTTGATTAAAGACTGTTGAAGACTTAATACCTGCTAGTATGATTAGCCCCACTGAACTGCAGTGCTTTTCTTTTCCCAGGGAAAGTGGAGAGGTTTAAAAAAAAAAAAAAAAAAAAAGGCTATAGCAGCATTCAAATGAATATGCAAATGATAAGGTGCATTTGGAGTTGTTTCAGTGCTGTTATATCCCGGATGAGTGTGCCTCAGTGGTTTGAAAGTGAAGGCAGCACCCCACATACCGAAGACAGAAAATAAAGCCATGTCATTGTTTGCCTCGTCTGCAGCGGATAATCATTTTAAGTGTTCAAAATCTTCTCCCAGTTCTTTTCAGGTGGATGCGTAGGTGAAGTCCTAGCTCTGTTATTTTGTTTTCTTTTTAGTGGGGAAATCAATGATGACTGCAATTTCTTTCATTATATTTGTTTATGTATGAGAACAGGTGTATTATTTGTAACGAAGAAACAATCACTGAGGAATAAAGCTAAGACGATCCTACCCGTAGATGGCAGTAACTGCTAATAGTGTTAGCTGCCAGTGCTAGGACGCAGAAAATGTTTAAACCAATTGACCTGATCCCCAAAGTTGCTAAACAGCCATTTCAGGGATCTTAAAATGGGGTCACGCACCAAGCTCCTTGCAGAAACCACCAGCAGAATGTGTCTCCCTGAAAGCTGGTTCAGTTGCTAGAAATAACCCTGCTGTGATTTCTTGAAGGCAGAAAGTGTAATATTTATTCAAGTGCTATGGTTGACAGCAATGAAAAATGGCATTTATATTAGAATATTAAATCTTGCAACGTTCTCAACTTAGATGTGTTACCTGTAGAATGAACAGATAAACATACCACCTGTGTTTAAAGCTATCAAAAGTGAGTGCCTTACAATGAAGAACAATTTGGACTAATACCCCTTCCGGCCAACCCAGGCATTACCTTGTATACAAAATATTGATGTATTCACCACGTTTGACTACATAAAGGTGGGAAGAATCATTCTCATGGCACAGAAGGGCAGCAGCAGCTGCTTTTGATTGCTGTATGCAGGAAGACAGAAGTGAGGGAGGAGATTGTCTATGGGAGGTGTTACTTATTTTCTCTTTATCTTTACTCATAGGGAATCATATACGTTGCAAGTAAGAATTTCATGTCCCCACAACCCCGGTCTTACTTCTTTCCTAAATGACTCCTTGCTGATTTTTAATTGCTGCTTGGAGATCTGGTTCATACTGACAGAAGATTGGGAACAAAATGTAATTTCCAAGCAAGTCAACAGGGAAGAAGTAGATTGGAGTTTTGGGGTCACCCCTACAGGAAGGGAAGAAGCTAAAGATGGTTGTGTGTTGGCTTTTTGACTTTCTGGAAATGCATTTATTATTTACATTTTTTTCCCAGACATCTCAGGCAGGGCAATGCAAATATACAAGACAAAGTCACCGGCCTACGTGAGCTTTTTAAGAAGGACATAACATGTTGTGAAGAGAATTAGGATCAGGAGCAGTGTGATGGTATGTGCGAGGATGCATAAGCAATCTGGGTGTGTTGCCAGCAGTTTGTAAAGTTTTACCACTGTCATCTGAGGGACAGTAATACCCTAGTGGCCTGTGGCAGGGCAGGCATTGTACGCAGCGCAGAAAGGTGTGGGTTTGAGGGAAGATTTCAAGGAGGAGGTAGAGCAGGGGCTTTCTGGAGTAGTCAGTAAGCAAAAATGGAGGGGACATGGAGGGGACAGGCATGAACCTAAGTGGTGAAAGGAGGACAGAAGGGACGAGCATAAAGGTTTAAAAAACCAGAGTGAGACCACATTGTAAATATGCAAAAGATAAGGAACTGGAGCTCTGTATCTGCGTGACACAGCTGGGAGAGGGAGGGGAAGGACACTAGAGGGGTCTGGAGGCATCAGAATAAGGGTTAGGGGACTGGTGATAGCAGGGACATTTTGAAATGGGCTGAGAATGGGTGTCAGGAAAGCTTCGGGTTCTCATATAAAGAAAGAAAGAGTCTGATGTAGGGAAGGGAGATGGAGGTGGAAAGTGGACGGCCGTTACTTGCTGTTCATTATCCTGTGAGACAGTGAAGCAGTGAATCAATTATGATACCAAGCAATTGTGTAGATAATGAGTTAAGCAATGAAGCAGTTATACAGCAAATCATTTCTGGTATTAAATAAAAATGGGGAGAATCAACAGCAATATGAATCAATTATGGAGAGAACTATTACCAAAGTCAGTCAGTTAAGTAGAGAAACAGTTATACAGCAAGAGAATGAATAAATTAATCATGAAGTGGGACCATTATGTTGAGAATTAATTATGCAGAGTCTCCCTTTGTAATAAGGGGCATGTCTGAGGGAGCTTCACACACAGGAAAAAAAAAATCCAAAACAAGCCCATAAAAATAGATTCGTAACTAATAAAGATACAAGCCCTACACCAGTTCTCAGTCACTTTGTGACATCCTCTCCTGTGTCTCTTTGGGTTAGACTCACCTGTGTTGCAGTAGATGCTGAAGCCATTGCAGAAGCAGAGGAGAGGAAGCCTGTTTCTCCACTGTGCATCCTTCACTGGGGACACGGAGATGAGATGAAGGAAGTTCAGTGGTAACTTTGTGGCTCTGACAAATGGGATGTAGAAGGAGCCCACGGTCTTTGGAGCCACCTGACCTTCACAGTTTTAATGTGAATGTTTTAAGATGCTTAAAAGACAAAGATGTGAAAGCCCTAAACGTCTGCCATTGGAGTAGGGACTTCTGACATTGTAGATGACACTGTTCTCTGCCAACACTGATCAGCATTCGAAGACTTGTAAGGCTCTAGTGAGAGGGAGGAAAATTTGCCAACATGAATATGGAGAAAAACTCATGTTACAATCTTGTTTACAAAAACGTAGACGAGGGAGGATAAGCAACCATGTTTCCTTTCCTGTAACTCCTGTGTGTTGTTTTGGTAGGGTTTTTTTTTCCCCTCTTGCATCAACCACTGTCTTTGACTGTACTTGCAGTTTAGGAAATTGTTGCCTTAGCTTAGCTTTGACCTGCCTCCTAGCAGCCTCCAGTAGCTGCAGGTGTCATTAGTACATCTAGACTGGAGGCTGGCTCTGGACCTAAGGCTCTGCAGTTGATAATAATTAGTATCTTGCAGGATACTGTTAAAAGTAACCTCTCATTTTGTCCAAATGATTCTTTTTCCCTCCGTGGAAAAATGTCTCCTCTGTAGTGTGGAGGTGAAGATTTTCTCTTTTGTGCAATACTCCATAGGAACTGTAGATTGACCAAGCTGGTTATGGAGATAATTTCTGTACAACTACAATGCTTCAATTCAGAAACCTTTAGTTTATAGGCAGCTGCCTGTTGGCAGATGCTAAAGAGCCATAAAGACACAGCCAACCCTGTGGCCTTGAGGACACACAATCAAACTCCTTCTGAGCCTGAAGGCATTATTTGTCTAGGAATGACCAATGACACTGCAAATTCTGAAAAAGTCTAGCTGTGGTGTACCTTCTGAAGTGCCAGTTACCTGTGAAGAAGTCACGCAGACCTAATGAGGGCTCAGAGAAGTCCTTCCAAGGGGCGGTGCACAGGCAAGACAGACACAAGCATAAGCTACTTAAAATACCCTAGATGTTACCTAATGCTTTATTTCTTCTAATCATCACTTAAGTATGAGCCCTGGTCACAGACTCCCCAGGGAGGTGACATAAATGCCAGAAACTGACTGAGCATCTGGGCTGAGGCTGGTTGCCCTACAGAGCACAGCAGACTCATCTAAAAATAGGGGACTTTCACCTCTACAGCTGACATGAAGAGTGATCCCTGCTGGAGTGCACCTGGAGTGACTCACAGGAGGACTGAGAGACAATTAACTTTATAACCATAAAAATGACATAAAAGCAATACCCATTTAATTGGAAAAGCATTAACATGTCAACAACACCTAGAGCTTTAAAAAAAAAATATATCGTGAGACCAAAAGAAAGCATCTTTGAATTATGATAGACAACTGCTTAACTATTCAGAAAGAGAGAGGAAATTACTAACAGCTAACCTCCATTTCTCTAGGATTTCAGTAGGTTGTAATTCTTTTTTAAATAAAATGCACATTGCCCAGGGAACACAGCTTCTCCTCCTCTATCCTCAAATTATTATAAATTAATACCGTGGCTGGAAGAAGAAAGTAACAGGTTTCCTTTTGTTAAAGAACTATAGTCTAGCTTATAGCATTTTGTAAGGTTTCCAGATGGAAGAAAGCAGTCCAATAAAAGATTTTGCATCATTAAGGTCATTTGGGGACATAATTATCTGTGAAAGACAATATAGATGAAGACAGTAATATTGGCAATATATGAAAAGAGATTACAGTTCTGGGTGCCTAGTTTTTTTGTGGTTTCTTTGAGGTAGGTCCTGCTTGCGTAGAAACCCTCTCTGCCTGCCCTGTTCTTTAAGTGTCAAATTTTGCTGCATTTAAGAAAAGTACACATCATAACAGATGGCAAAAATGCCATTGAATAATTTTAATAATAGCAGAAAGCTAATTGCTTGTCAGCAGAAAATTCATTTTCTAGGACTGGCAGAAACCATGCAGAATATCCATGTTGTTGCTGAAAGGCTCAAGCTAGTTGATTTTGTAGAAGTCTGACAAAAGTAGTCATACAAATATATTTTGGTAAGGTACAGCTGCTGAAATGAGTACCTAATTGATGTGAAATACTGCCAATGTGCCCAAATGAGATAACAGCATTTAAGAAGATGAAATTGCTTCAGTTGTGATTTGGCCATCAGATGGGGAGAGGTGCTTTGGCTTTCGGAAGAGTTTTATATTAGTTTATACACACTGAAGACTTTCATTTTACATATTTTCATTGAGAGTATTATGTAGAGATGTACTCTGCCTGCTAAACATTAACAAATGCTCTTTTTGGTACCACTGCGAGAAATGGCAATAAAGCCCCTAAATTATAGTTAGTGAGTGGGTTTTTTTTGATATTTTTGTCAATACTATGCACATGCAGACTATGTGCATAAAATAGACACATTTGTCAGTAAAGTCCCTACAATTCAGTAGGGTAAATAGAAACTCATTTTATGTTATCTCACTTTTGCTAAGGTTACTGTGAATGGCTGAAAAAGTTTGAAATTTTTTGGTCTATATGCTTTTCTCCTGAAGGAATGGCAAACCCAGCCATTACATTTCGTAAATTTCAGTTCAGTTCCTTAAACTTTGGACTCACCCTTCTTACCATTGTAATGGGACTTAATGCCATTTCTGGGCTCTGATTCGGTACCGGAGGAGGTTCCAGTTGTGGGAGCTTCGGTCCTGTGAAGCCCTCCCAGTTCCTGTTGCCCTATCTCCCATACCATACCTGCTGGTCATTCCCACAACTGTCCAGTGCTGACCTTGAGGGGATACAGTGGGGTCTCCAGCATCAACAATGGCCCTACCTGTGTTGTCCTTCTGAACATCTCCTCCGAAATCCAGGCTGAGCGCATCCTTATGTAGCCCATGATATCTGATGAATCACACCAGTAACTGAGACAGATGTGGATGCTTTTAAAAAAAAAAATAAAGAACAAACAAGGTAAAAAGGTACTTTACGCTTTAAACAAAACAAAACCTGCTAAATACCACTCCTAAGGAAGATCACTCAATTTGCAGTGCCTGACAAAACTAATCAGCCTGAATGACTAAGCCATTACATCTTTCCAGAGTATAATGCTGTGTTCACAAACACGTCACCCAGAAGATGATTTTAAAAGTTTCAGCAGAACTAGTTCCATAAAATATTTAGAATTTTCGTATATAACTGTAATCCAAAGAAACACTTTGAAATGCAACAGGAACAGATAGCCATCATTTATTCTTAGCAGAGACGCTAATCTGATAACAACCCAATAATTTTTGCTCTGTCTTTACCTTCATACACAACTGTTGATGGGAAAATGATCTCAATATTTCATACCCAGCGTGAGTCTTGTCCTTTTATTTTGATATAATATTGGAGACACAAATAGCTGGAAGAATAGCTATAATTGATTGATAAGAACAGGGAAGAGCAATATAGGGAATCTCACACACACTGGTATCACTCTTCTTTGCTGTGCCAAGAAAGTAACTTGAAATACCAAGCTCTTGCACAGAGCTTATGCCTGGCCTTCAGGATCTGGAACTCCTCAAATTCTCACAGTCTGAAGATGCTCATATCTGTTGACTCTATGCTTCAGTTCAGTATAAAGACCCTCATTTTTCCCTGAACATGACTGTGATGGGGGCAGAATCTCACTGGGATAGAAATGTAATTCTAGCTTTTCACTTGCCAAGTGTATTTTTAACTAATTCTGAGTGGCTGCGCTGCACTTTGGTTTAGTGTTATTTTTATAAAGATAATTTCTAGCTGTGTAAAAGGTGCTGAGGGTGCAAAAATAATGAATAAATAAATAAATGCTTCTTTCACATGACCTCATTAAGAGCAAAGCCAAATTCCTGCAAGAGAAAGCCAGCTGAGCAGAATTTTCCAAGTGCCTTTATTACGACATTGTTTCTATTCCCATTGCATCTCAGGGTCCTAGCCACAGACCAGGACATTACAGTGCTAAGTACCACACAAAAATAAAAGGGATGTCTTTGCTCCAAGGGGCTTTTATAACAGCAGTGGTCGAAGCGGAGCAGAGTCTGCCAGTAGGAGCCAGGAGCGGTTTTCCGGGTGTGGAAGTGTGTATCAGCACTTTCTTTTTAAGCAGGCTCAAGGACAAACGGGATCGGTGCGATGACATCTGAAGTTCCATTTCAGCTACTGCGTATAAACTCATAAATGCTTCAGAAGAAGCAAGCTGTACACTTGCTGTACTTTGAAGAGGTGAGCGAAAACCCAAATGCTAATCAGCCGACTGCGCAGAGATGAAGTGGGGACAGTCAGCTCAGGTTCTCAAGTCAGAATTGCTGAGGGATTTTGCTTATGTAAACACTTGCCATCATGTTTTCCATGTCTACAGCCATCTGAAATTTTGCATAGCTGCAGACTGAACATCTGCATAAATCTGAATGAAAGATTTAGAAAACAAATAAGAAGATTATGTTGCAAAACTGCATCTTTGTTGCAGCGTTTCAGAGCTCAGACACAAAAAATTAGACACATTCTATGAAACTAACAATATGAAATTGTGTTTTCAATACTTATCATCCATCTGGATGTTAACTCTTATCACCTGTATCTTCAGGTTTGAGCTGAAGGTGACACACTGCTGGTAGGAAGGAAATCATTATGGATTGTTAGGCTAGTACTGAGGACACTGCGCCGCTCTGATAAATGGACTATACGGACACATATTTGTGGAGGTAAATGTGAATGGACTCACCTCTCAAATCTCTGGTAGCAGTGATGCAGATGAGCAGTATTGCTGGAGCCCCAAGGTTTCACCAGCCCAAAAGGGACAGCCGTGCTGTCATTAAGAGAAAAGGATTTAGCTCGTGGATCCCCGTGGCAAGTGACACCTTTCATGTTGTCAAGTATGCAGGAGACTTCAGGGTTCTAAAAGTTGAATGTTTAATAAAGCATCCATGATTGAGCCATGTCTGAATCTCAGGTCTTTTGTGGTACCCTCCCAGGCTGTGATTGTACCCTGCCACATGCCGTTCCTCATGTATGGAACATGAAGTTAGAAAAATACATGTGACTTGAAGCAGCAAGGGAGGAAAACACACACTTCTCTTCTGTATCAAAAGGAAAAAAAACCAAAAACATCTCTATAAGGAGATTTTACATATTGATTATCCCTTGGCAAGACACACGCATTGTTAAAATGACAAAATTACAACTGTCATTGTTGGCTCCTACAGCTGCCCAGGTAGGACATACCTGCTGGAAAATAACATGCCTCTGTCCCTGTGCGCTGCTTTATTTACCTCCCGTGGGTTTGGGGGAACTACTTTAACAGGGGAGCAAAGACACAAACCTGGGAGCCTGGGAAGGACTAGAAAGGGAGTGACAGATTTAAAAGGCTGCTGTTTCAAAGTCCAGCCTCTTCTCTTTACAGAACTAGCACCTAAAGTCCTCAGTGGTATCCAGCCCCGTTTCCAGAAAGTACAACTAAATGCAAAGACGGCTTCCACAAAATCTCAATTTTTACTCAATTGGGTAAAATAGAATTTTTTTTTTTGATTGACCAGTTTCAGAACTTTTTTGCTAAACTAAATCAGAGCATTTAATTCCAGATCAGAGCAAGATAAATCTGGGCTGTTGCATCTAATACTGATGTTCTGCATCAGCCAGTTTATCTCTAGATCAGGATCTTCACCCAGATGAAACCCCAGTACTATACCATAGTTTGCCTGTAGATCACACCAGCCCTGGAGCACGTGCAGAGGGAAGGGTATGAAGGGAAGGAGGCCCCTGGGTAGAACAGCCATTCAGGTGGGCACTGCTTCATTTTGGGAGCGCCGAGACTTTTCAGTGAAATTAAAATGCATCTAGAATTGTTTTTTGAATACCAGAAGTGCAGCTTTAAAGTAACTGGTGGGTTAAAACTGCAGATGAAAAGCCATGGGCATTTGCAGCAATCCAGCAGTCTGGAGTCTTTCAGAGAATGAGCAAAAAACCCCACATTTTAAACAGAATGAAAATCCCAGGCAAATATATCTCTGTAGCTTTTTCCTGGCAGGCTCTTTCATTAACCAGCTAGTAATACTAGTGTTCATACCCTACGTACAATTATTATTTTTTTTTCCCCAAGGATATTTCTTTAAAAAGAGGTCGTGCTTAAAAATATGGTTGAAATTAATGACTGATGATAAAATACCAGCAGGCCCCTATTTCAGGGTGTCGATTAGGTGGCTACTTATGTACTGCTGGGGTGGTTGACAACATGCAGTTCAAATCACTACTGGCCTCCTTTACTTTTTCCTCCATTAGCTTCTATTGTCTTTAACGTAAGCCTCAGTAATTCTTCCACTGATTTGAATAAATAATAATTACAGTTCAGTAATCCTTGTTATAGCATAGCCTAATTAGCTTGTGTAGCTGACTGAAGTTTTTTAATCATGAAGATAGAAATGAATTAGATATAGGATAAACAAAAAAAAAAAACCCACAAAACAGCTTTCCTTCCAACATCATAAAAATGTTTCTCAAGGAACTATGGAAAAGAAATTACTATTTTAAAAAGCATTTTACTTCTTTTCCTGCCCGATTGCCAATTCTTAATTTGTTGACATTTTTATTTTGCTCTCTTGGGTCTCAAATGGAAGATGGACCATGTCTTGAAATGTAGATAACATTTTTATCCTTAAGTAATCTTCTCCTAGGAATGATGCTGCATGCATAAAACATCTGACATACAATAGACCAAACTAAGCTCTTGTACAAGTCTATTAAAGTCAATGGGGTTACACTAAGAATGAATTTGGCTCAATGAAGTATTCTGGAGAATAACACGAAGCCTATCAGATTACGTACAAGAAAATAGAACATCAGTGCTGCACAGTTGGACAATTTAATCCTATTTTCATTTTGGCTTGATAGCTTATTGGTTGCTAGTTTCTATTCTGCATAGGTTTCTATACTGCAGTCATCACCACAATATCAAACTACCTTCCAATAATGCATTAAATAGTGTGACTAACATCTGGTATGTGTTTGTTTTCTTCAATGCACTAGGAAGTTCTGTTTACAATGAATCATTATCAGGAGGAAAAGTTATTTGTCTATTAAGACTATTAAAAAGATAAGCGCAGCATTTTTTACACAGAGAATCAAATAGGGGGAAAACACGATTGTTGTCTACACTTCATAAGTACAGATTTAGACTTACAACGTTTAAAAAGTACTTTCTGCAGACATCTCAGACAGAACACTTTGCAGCACAAATGCATTCAGAATCCTGTACCCTGAATTGTTTCAAGGCAAAATCTTGTGAGAAGAGGCTGAGTTGTCAAGTGAGTAGGAATCAAAGCAGCTTACCTCCTTGTGGAAGATGCTTGGCCATTTCCAAGACTGGCAAGTTGAGAGCAGGGCAGGAGGGGAGAGTTTAAGGCTCGACTCATGGGGTGCTCAAGTGCCAGCTGGAATAGACAGCAAGAGTTGTGAACACTTCTCCTCTTCATCTAGAATGGGAAGGAGATGGGTAAACCATTCATACAATGAAATTGGAAATAAAGAACAACTTGGGATTTGAGCAATACCACTTATGAATGAGTAGTGTACATTTCACAAGACACAAAATGAAATCTTAAAAAAATTTAAAAAAAAAAGGTGAAGAAGTGATCAAAGAGGGCAGAAGTACCCTGTTGCATTGAGCAGCTTTAATCTATGTGTGCATTCAGGCCTCAGGGTTGGGTTTTTTTGATACATCTAATAGATAAATCATGCCGTTGTCTGATCACCTACACTGGAATTTAATACTTCAAATGTAGATGAATCCTAGGAAGCACAGGAGTTTATTCCCTAATTTGAATTCAGTTGAGTAGCATTTGTGCAGAGAAGCTAATTGAACAGATTATTCCGTGGTCTTTA